AAAGAGTAAACTCCATTTGTAGGAAAATCAAGATTTTGGAGTCAAAGGCTCCAGGGATTTCTCTCTGGGACCTTGTACAATCTCAGTGTTAACTTGCCTCACTGCAGAGGTTGGGACAATAGATCTCTGTGCAGGTAGGAGCCCATGAGGAGCTGGGGCTGTGAAGGACTGCAGTCAGAAGCAGTGGGGATGCAGTCAAGGGCCAACCTGAACAGGAGAGCCTTGACACGCCTTTCCCCAAAAGCTTAATGTATCATTCTAATAACTGAATTATTGTGGGAGCCTTGCGATGAGATTTCTCCCTTGGTCTTTTCTCAGCCAGGAGTAAGATTGTTTGAGATTTGCTTTTATTGCCACGATTTATCATGTGTATTCCAGTTTATCCAGTGTTCATGACACATGGCGGGGTAGATTAAGATCAGAACTTTATGACTGTTAATAACAAACATTAGGCAAGAAAATGTGGAATAAACCTTTGGGAAAACATCAGTCATTTTAACTACACACAAGTTGATTTTTTTTTCATACAATTACAGCATTGCAAAAATCCTTTAATAAGAAACTGATTTTTTTTGGTCATTTTTTGTTTTCAGTGTCTAGGTTTTTATAAATATTTTTCTTGATTTTTTTTTTGTTCTTTCAGTTTAAGTCTTAATCGTGTCCCTTACCACTATTTTCTGTGCCTGGTTTTAAGAGAATTTTCCTTCTCTTTGCACCCACCAGTGCCATTTCCTGCTTTGAAAGTGAATAATAGTTATCTACTCTTTGAATATAACTTTATAAGCAGCTGTGTCTGCTTCTGAGCACTTCTTATGGTGATATAACTCTTTAATTGCTGGTAAGAAAGTAATCTTTGCCTTGGTCAAAATACATGGCAAAATACACAGCATACATACTATTTATTTCTCATCTAGTAGGGGCTTTACACTGTCAGTGTCTTAATATGTTTTTGAAAAATCCAAATTTTATTTACCTTTAGCTTTTAAAGATTCAGAAACGGATAGTGTATTACAATTTTTCAATCTAGACACTAGATACAAAAAACATTAGTATATAGAAAAATTCAGCTTTTCTCCTTTTCTGAAAAAGGTAGATCTGCTTGCTCTAGTCTTCTGAGGCTCCTCTGCCTTATGTGATTTTTTTGTTTAAATAACTACCCATGTTTCAAAGGTTTCTTGAATGGGTATTTTTTGCATGTATAAATTGCCCTTCAAGTAACTTGCACCCCTTTAAACATCATGCAGATAATCCAATACTTTTGCTAATTCTAGCCAGTTAAATACTACAGAAAGTTAGAGAGGAGAAAAGAGAAGTGCCAGAGCAAAATTTTCATCATAATACTTACACATGCATATAATTCAGAGTGCTGAGGAACCAGGAGTAATTTTTTTAGCTTGGTGAGGCTTTTTTGTTTTCTACAAATAAACACAGTTTACACACATAAATGCACACTAATTCCTGAAGTGTTCTGTGCTGAATTTCATCAGGTCTCTAACCTGAACTGTCTGACCTCATACAAATATTTCTCTTCCTGTTTGGTTTTGGATTGTTTTTTGTTGTTTGTTTGTTTTGTTGTTTGTTTTTTTCCTGTTTGTTTTGTTGTTTGGTTTTTTCCCCTGTACTTTACCCTGTAGTCCTATCTTCATGTCAAAATTAATTTTGAGTATTTTCACGGAGTTGATTGCAGGCAGGCTTGAACTTTGTTCCCAGCGAGAGCCAGCTGGCTGGAGGCCATCTCTGGCCACATTGCAGTGCTTCAGCAGAAGGGCTGGACTTCTCACCAGGTCCCATTGAATGCATCCGAGCACCACGTGAGCAGGATCAGGGCTTGCAGTTCAGAGGGAGCTTGTGCCTGCCTAGTTTGGAGCATCAGTAAGGAGAGCTCACGGCTGCGTGTTCTTCCCTAGGCGGAAAGATGTTTATTTGACCACAACCTACTTCCTTCTGGAGACTCAAGCAAGGCAGGCATAATCACCTGTACTTATCTGTGCTAACTGTTATTTGGACACCTTTCTCATGTTGTAATGTTTGCTTTTTGTTGGATTTTCTTTTTGGCTTACCTTATATTAATGCAGCCTTTCATCAGGACTTATCATGTGCATTGCTAATTAAAACTGATGTTCTGTTTTAACTTTTCTGCTTTTACCTCCAGAGGAATAGTGGCACAGGGAGGCTTAGTCTCATCCTTAGTGGCATACACATTAATTTGTGCTTTTCCGTAATCTCTTTTTCATGTTTAGTTTATTGGAGATGTAACCACACTGGCTTGTCACTACACTTTCTCTCTAAAGGTACCTGAATGTCCCTCATTTTTCTTTCCCAAGACACCTCTTCTGCCTGTTCCCTGAGCCCGCTGGCCTCACGCTGCTGTGCTTGTCTCATCCTGCAGCCACTTGCACTCCAAGTACTACACACCTGCAAAGTCTTGGTCAGGTATTCTCTAACAGAAAAAAGTCTATTTTATCTGTTCCCTTGAAAGTTTTTTTCAGATTTGGAAAGGAAAAGTGTCCCCTGTGCATTTTCACACTTCTCAGCATTGGTCTGAACTGAGTCCCTCTGTTAGAAGCAGATTCTGCTGTTGGGATGTACCTTTTTGTCCTTCAGACCAGCCTTGGCCACCTCTGCCTCCTTGTGAGCTGAAGTGACATTTCACAATCTTGAAGATCCTACCCCTTTTCCTGTATTCTATCTAGCGCCCGCACTCCCTCCACCAGTGATGTGCAAGTTCTAATAAAAGTTTAATGTGTTAAATAAATACCAAAAACAGTGATACCAGATTTATCCTTGATTCATGTAATCTCTGTGAAAGCCTCTCAGGATTATTTCTTGCAGTATTCTTGCTGTCAGCGGAGGTAGCTTTTCATTTATGTATAAAACAACAGAGTGCTCCTCTTATATTGTAAGCATATAGTTGTTAATATACAGTGTTTCCTTATGCCCTGATGTGAAATGAATGCCAAAAGCTATTTGAGGATTTGCTCAAAACCTCATGGGATCAGCTCAAAATAAGAAGACAGAAATTATTTTTTCAACCTCAGCTGGGGTGGGAGTTCATGTAATTTGTCAAGAGAAATCTATGTATGAGGAGTTTTAATATGGGATTTGCAGCATGTGTACCCACAATTGGAAGAATCTCTGTTTCTTTACTTCTGAAAGGGCTCTTGCCCTGTACCTTTCTCCAGCCATCTCCAACATTAACTGCTAGTACCCTCTAAATAAAATCTAAGCCCCAGCCAGTTTCAGCTCAAGAGCTGCCTGAGTGGACATGGTTTCTATGCATTTAGTAACCCTCATTGCATTCCTTTTTCAGAAGCTCAGCTTGAATCCGTAAGCAAAGGTTAAAGTTACTGTTAGCAGGAAAATGATGTAGTTGTGCTTTTCTTCTTGGGCCCATCCCGAGATACTCTTCATGCCTCTAAGGAAAGGACTGCTCTCCCTCCCTGCGTTTGAAAACTGTTTATTTTAATGATGATGACTTTATGCTTTATATGATTGATACTGTTGAATTACTTTTATATCCTTGCATCTCCAGGATGCGCTGAGTGCCACTGTTCATTTTTAGGTGCTCTTCTTCTTTCTGTTCGTAAAGCAGTTGCTTTGATTTCAGTGTCACTGCAAAGGAATGGTTGGAGAATGACTTAGTGCTGCTCCATTAAAGAGGACAAAACAAGGGACAAGAAACCTCTCAGCCTTTGAAGTTAGCTTGTGATAGTTTCTTTTTTTACCCTTTAACTCATTGGTAAATAGCAAGTTCTGAATTGCTTCTATTAACGTTGATAGGTCATTGTTACAACAGAGAGAGATTTTTCACAATATATATTTAACCTCACAGGAGGTGTGAATGTGTCACCCTGCAACCCTGCTAGTTTCCAGATTAACATTAAAGCAATTTTGAGGGAAATGGGCAGCAAGAGAGGTTTCCATTTTTTGCAGCTGGGAAAGCTTTGAGAAAAACAAATAAGAAACAGAAAATGAAGCAGGTTATCCCAAGGAAGCGCCTGTGTTTTGAAATACCACTCAGGCGAGTCCACACATTTAATTAGATTAATCCAAGTGATGAAATATAATTCTCTGTATATGTGTGTGTGTACATATATATATGAATGTGTTATGTATAGAAGACTATAATCTTTTACATTCTAACAAAATATTACCATTTTAAATATTATTTGTATGAAAAATGCCTATATAGTCTTCCATCCTTCATTTGGTAGAAGTGAGTTATTATAACAATATATTTCGTATGGTGTTAATAAGCATGGTATTGAACTAGCTATTGATACTTTATTTTGCTTTCTGTTAAAAAAAATCCCATTTTAAATGACAATTGGTAAACAAACTAGAAAAAAAACAGACCAACAAATAAAAGAACTTTGATAACTTTGTGAAAACAGGTTGTATTTATTGGCAGTTTTAAACGAATAACTCCTAGGAAAATATATTGACTATTACTGATGAAAATAGTCAAAAATCAAGAATTGAATTAACTCCGAAGTATCTTTTGTCTTTTCGTCTTCTGAAACTGATTCTTCAAGACATGGGAGAGATATGTTGCTAGAAAAGATGAAAAAGACAGCCTCACTACCTAACCTTATGGTTTTTGTTCCCTTACTTTTAAGAAGAAAAAGGACACTTTGTTCTTTCTTTTCAATGCCATAGTGCAATAAACATGCATACAAAAGTAATTTTCTGTTTTGATGCCTATTTAAAAATTGTCAAGTTAACAATATAATAGATCTACCAAAAATGTAAATTGACTTTGAAAACCAGTATCAATCCAAGGACTGTATAATGCTTGCATTCTCTAACCTGAGTTCCCTACTTTTTTTTTTTTTGTCTATAGACACCCTATTTTTGGCCATCAAATTGTTGGGAGCCGGAAAACACAGACTATGGTCAGTGTAGAAATCTTTCCTATTTCTTTTGGGAATTTTGTATTATATGAATGAACACATCATTGCAGTCTGTCTTGTTTAATCATCCCACTGTTAAAAACATAATTATTTGTTGTGTAATTCCTGTGCAAGAACTGCTGATATTGAAATTAATGTGTTGTTATTTTTTTCAAAGTTTATTAGAAGTTTATTAAAGTCAGATTTGGAGTTGATCTGAGAAAAAGAAAAAGAAAAAAAAAAGCCTCAAAATTCATCAAACTACCTTGCCAATTACATCTGTTTGTTTCAAGAAGTGTAATTATTTTCAGTGACAAAGTCTCAGTGAAGCATAGGACACTTTATTGATGGTTATGCAATAGTTATTCCCAGATTTGGACCCAAAGATACACCTAGTTTAGATCTCTCATTTCTGATATACTTGGTGTGGAAAACTATTATGGAAACTAGTATAGTTCTAATGTGCAATGTATTAGAAAATACCTTGTTTATTTGCCTGTTTCTTGGGGTTTTATTAATAAATTACACATTGTAATTACTGATGTGTGCTTAGACATGAAAATCTGAAGATAATATTTAGTAAGGTATTACAAAAAAACTCATTAAAAATTATAACCAAAATTCAATGCCTTTTTACATCAAATAATGACCTAATTTTTAGAGAAAATGCATTATCCATGAGCAGTCTCCTGTTCATTCTAATCCAGACTGTAAATACTCAGCTCATCTGAAGACCAGGTCACTTATTTAGGTAACTAAGCATGTACATGATAGCTTACCTTTTCAAAGCCTCAAACTTTGAAAGTCTCTATTTACTTTTATTTTAGCTTTTTGGACATTTAGATGGCTGTTTGCTTGTAATATGAATTCAATCTCAGCCCTTGGGAACTGAAGACCACAAGGGGATCAGTGTAAATATGGATGGTTCCAATAGACCCTTCCTTCTTTTCCACAGCAGACACAGTTTAATTTCAAATACATTGCTAAATATAACAATTTCAAGCTGGGACTCTCAGCACAGCTGAATGCCTTCAAAGTAGAGTTTGGAAACAGTGACAGTTTGCTTATCCTATAGAAGGAGAAAATTGTTCCTCTTTCTTTGAAATACTGAGATATGAAGATGTCCAGCAAATAGCGATTGAAGGCTACAAAGGAGCAGTAATTCATACCACACCTGAGTGGTTAGCCACTCCATGGGAGGAAATTAGTCTCTGAAGGAGAAATGCTTAATTTACCACTTATTATAATGTTTTTTACTTTCCTGGACAGTGTTATTTGCTTTTCTCAGAGGGGCACTGCAGTATAGTCTCCTAATATGTTAAAGATCAGAGAGTAATCTACTGTAGTTTTAAGAGGCAATTGAGTTGTTCAATCATAATGTGTATTACATTGCCAGGGGGATTTTAATAAATAATATATGCTTAACAGGTCAGAACTTGAGATGAGGCTGAGAAAGTTTCTATTAATATCCTTTAAATTAGGAGACACTAACTTTCTAATCACAGCTGATGACTGGATTGAGCAATTTATTACATACCTTAGTGTGTAAATAGAAATTTTATATACTCTATCCAGGTTTTGCATGCCAGAAATACAGAATTAAACTTGGGAACAATTTCTTCATCATGCAGGGACATGCCTTTGTTGCACCTATGTTGGCAGAATTGGTTAATGGTCAAGCATTTGCAAAAAATTAAATTTTTAAGACAACTTTTCAATAGCATTCCTATTAGATTAGCATCTTCCGAGTCCCAGAAATTAGCATTTGCCTTGTGATCTGAGGACTTTCCAATACACTTCTAGGAATATAAAAAGAGGGCAGATAAGGGGAGAACTGAATACAGCTGCTTGCAAAAAGGATCACACAACTGTTGTAAACACTGGTCATCAGAGGCATACAGAAAAATCAAGCAGATAACATTCAAGAGTCCAAAATAAATATAAAGTAGATTTGAAATATTTTGAAGTTGTTAAAGGATAAATTACACCTCAAATACACTCCAAAGAAGTTCCACAGATTTTCACACTTATTCTGCTACTTCCCAGAAAATAACATAAGTTCTGTATGTCATATTACAGATATGTGAATGCATTTTGTCATGTATTATGGTGCTATGCAGTGCTTCCATTTTCAGGGACTTGTCCTGAATGAGCTTGAAACCGCACCTCCTAAAACTGAGTGTGGAAGGCATTAGGAGTCTCTCAAGGCCAGCAAGAAGTCGCCTTTCTCTGTAATCTTCCTTTATCAAAGTTATTAGCAAAGAAAACCACTTTCTTTGGCATTGACCTAATTTTATGAGTATTTGAAAACACACTACAATTTTATTTTAATTTCAAAACTACTCCCAACCATTTACCATTACTACCCATAGCTGGGCTACTGTCCAGGAAAATAATTAATCTTGAACTAGAAATTAAATGAGACTGAGGTATTGCATGTGTTAATTCATTACCAGAGCTAACTCAGAAACAAATAATCTTTGCATCCTTTAATAATATGTTAATCTTCTCTAAAATATAATTTCTTGTTCCATGTGAGCTTATAATATCAAATATTTTTATTAAAAATAATTATCTGAAGAAAACATGAAGAAAAAAGATTTGAGAATAGAATATTGCAAAATGTCAAGAAACTGCAGACCCATTCTTATAATAAAGCTCTAGTGCAGTGCTATGTCTTGGTGGCAAAAAGGGGGCTTGGATTAATTTATTGTATGTCAAAATGAAATTGTGTAGCCTTTGTTTTTGATAGTAACTATCAAAATATGAATGATCTGATAATATTGTGGTTACTTAAAATCTGTCAATTTTCACAAAGAGGTGAAAATCTACTTCCCTTTTCCTTGAGAATCATGCTATAAGAGATCTCAAGAGAGATGTCTCAAATTGCAAATAATTTTTAAAAAGGTGAGTTCTTAGCTTCCAGCTGTTGAAGGCACCCATTTTAATGCTGTATGTCTTGGAGTCCACCTGTGTGGGACATTTTGTTCTGTGCAGAGTCCCATTGGTTTCAGTGGGACTTTATTGATGAAAAGAAGTATGCACATTAACAACAACAACATTGTTATTATTTAAGGCCAGTGTAGTTCAGAAAACTGGCTCTGGAAATGAACACAGGAACAGCTGAGCACATGACCTACCTGTAATCATCTTCTCTTTTCTTACAGAAGTAGTTTTGTAACTAACAGATATTTTTCTGGCAGATTAAAAGCAGTTCATGTCATTAAAAATAATTTAAGTATGGAGAGCTGTGAAGTCCATTGCATCTCAGAAAGGGGAAATATATATATAGATAAAATTATGCCACATATGAAATTGTTATTCATATGCATTTGGTCTCAGTTCTTGTGGGACCTGTAAGGTTCTCTTGGGGCTTTAGTGACTCACAGCTGTTGCAAATTTGATGAATTCAGTTCCTTACTGTTCTCTTGTTTGAGTGAGATAAATAAGAAATAGGAAATGTTAGGGGAAAATTCCATTCACAACAAAATAGCAATTATCTGTGTGTTTGAAAAGCTCAAGCCTAAGCCTGAGCAAACCAATGAACACAGGTGTGACAATTTAGGAGGCTTATAAGAATGTCAGCTGTATAAGATATGAAGCAGAATTAGTAACTTTTACTCATTTTCTCTAGTATGCTTTGGTTGATGATTAGACTAGAAAGTGTCTGTGACATACAGACTTTTTCTTACAAGTAACTGCATATTAAAAAAAGAAGTACGTTTGAAGGAGAGACAGAATAAAACTTTGAAGGTGCCATGGTCACTCATAGTGTTGAGGATCGGACTAACACTAGAAGACAACAGTCGGTCCTCCTCGGAGCAGCAGGTCTGCAGTTGAGGACTCTCCCATTGAGTTGGGACGCCACTTCTTGAGATTGAGAGCCCTCCGTTTTTGGTGAGTGAGTGAGTGCACATTTTGGTGCGTTTGGCCAAAACTTAAGAATTCTTAACTCAGCCGTGTCTGGTAATATTCCCAACCAGCAAAAAATTCAGGGACGTGGTGGAGTCACCATCCCTGGATGTATTTAAAGAGCCGGTAGATGAGGTACTTAAGGATATGGTTTAGGGGGTAGACAGGAACGGTTGGACATGATGATCTCAGAGGTCTTTTCCAACCGAGCGATTCTGTGTGTGATTCTGTGTGTGAACTGCATCTTTATGGTTGAGGATGCAAGAGGATGCTGTTTCAGCCTTGGCTTTATGTGTGTGCATTTCTCCCCAGAAATGGAGAAGGATTGCAGAATCTTGGTTGGTTTCGGAGAAGACAGTAACTGATAATGCAGCATGATTTTATGAGCATATGACCTGTAAACGATACCAAACGAGGCTATTTTGCTATATATTCAAAGCAAATTCTTAAATTCTGCTGCTGTGAAGAAGGACAAGTTTTGAAATTGTACATACTTTCAGTAGCCTTCCAGGTAAAATCAGGTGCTGCAAAGGCAATCTTCTAAGAAATTATGGCACTTACAGGAAAAAAAAAACAACTTCCCCCCCCCCAAAAAAAAAAAACCCCGAAACCCACACTCACACAAAACCAACAAAAACTTAATTAATTGCATCCTTTAAGAGTGTAAGCTCCCTGTCTGGGTAACTGCTGCCTGTAAACTTCTGTGGCAGTTCTAGAAACACTCATGACTTATCCAGTCTGAGTTACAGTCAAATAAGGAAACCATCTATTTTTCACTATGTGAAAGTTGTTGTCTCATAGCTGTTGTTCTCCAGCATTTTTAAGAAAGCAAAAATTTGTCCTTTATAAATTTTCTTTATAATCAGCTAGCAAGTCAGTCTGTACAAAGTATCCTTCCTAATGATACCTTCTTATGGCTTAGAAGTAGGCTGACAGGCACCTCTCTGTGTTCAGCCTCTGCCACTCTGTTCTGAGCAGGAGCTGTGACACCTGGCTCCTCTGCCAAGCTTGTATCATGTTTTTCACATATTGAGAAGTTTAATATAATCTTCTCTTGTTGCCGACTTACTTTACATGCCTAGCTTCAAATC